CGGATGGATGGAAACAACCTAAGTGCCCATCAACGGATGGATGGATATCCATTCTGTGGTACATACACACAGCGCAATACTATGCAACATTAAAGAGTAACGTAGAGTCCGCAAAACACCTCATAACATGGATGAACTTGGAGGATATTATGCTGGGTGAAATAAGTCAGTCACAGGACAAATATTGTGTAAGTCCATTATTGTAAAAATTCAAGGAAAAGTTTACACAGGGAAGGAAATTTTCTTTGTTGGTTACTGGGGAGGGGAGAAGAGAGAAAACAAATGGATAATTACGAGACAAGTTTGATATGGGGGAAGGGAAAAGCAATATTACAGAAGTGTGTGACTAGCACAATAGCACTAAGGAAAAGGAAGACACGGAGAGGTGCATAAGACATACAGACAATAAAGGCAAATAGACTGCATACACAATATTGCATTATGAGTACCAGCAAACACTGATCTCTGGGTGGATACAGACACAGACAGGTATGGGTGGGCAAATGGAAGAAACCCGTGACCATACATAGGTCTGGCAGACGATATTCCTACATGTGCATTTGTATCTGCTATAAAAATCGCCATATGCAGTTTAAACATAACAGGATGCAAAGTCAGGATAACTTCTTAGCCACGACTAAGCACTCTGTGTACTCACTTCACAAGGCTGTTATGAGAATTAAATTAGACAGTGAAGATGTGCAAGCCCCTGTCCCAGAGAGTGGCACCAGGGAGATGCACAATAAAGACATCTGTTATTATTTCATATCCCTTGGATTTAGGGCTGGCTTTCAACCTCATGGTCACAGAATGGCTGCTGTGACACAGACATTGCATACTGTATCTGCATTTAAGCCACAAAGGGGAAGAAATGGGACATACTATCTTGATTCGTTTTATCTAAAACTGAAAGCCTTCCCAGAGGCCCCCGGCAGACTTTTCTTAAGTGTGGTAAGACCACAGCTGCAAGGAAAGCTGGGAAAATGAGAACTGAGAAAGAAGGATGGGATTGTCATGACTTCACCCAGTCATTTTTCATCATGTTGCCCTGAGTGAAACCAGGCTTCTGTTAGTGGGGAAGAAAGGGGTGATGGGTAATGAGAAAGCGACCCACAGCATCTGCCCGGAATGGTTGTCTTATTCCTCCTGGCATCGGTTTGCCCTGCAGCTCTGTGGGCCTGCTGCCAGTGTTTGAGCACAAGGGAGGAAGGAGCCTGGGCCGGACTTATTGTTGCAAAGAAAGGTGGGTACAGAATGAAAGCTTCCCAAAGCAAAACCTGGAGTCTCTTCTCCCACTCCAAGTATTGCATTCTCTGTTCCCTCTTCTGAAAGCACTCTTCCCCCCTGTTCTTTGGGACCATGAATCCATCTGTCTTAGGCTGGGTTCTCCAGAGAAGCAAAACCAGTGAGGCTTAGGGAGAGACAAGAATTTCTCTCAGGGAAATGGCTCACACCATTGTAGAAGCTGGCAAGTCCCAAATTCATGGGTCAGACGTCAAGCTGGAGGCTTCTCCTGACTCACGCAGCTGCAGGGCTGACGAATACAAGATCAGCAGGCCATACGGCAGGCCAGTGGGTCAGCTCCAGGAAATGGATGATGACGAGCTAAACGCAGGACCCAGATCCATCAGAAAGCCAGAGACTGTTCCCATATGTCCACGTGTGTATTGGAAGCAGGCCACACCCCTGAGGAAACTCCCTTTCAACTGAGTGGCTGCTCACAGAACATCTTGTCTTGGAGGTGATTACATCACAGCTGCTTAAACCACTTAGAATCATGGTCCAGCCAAGCTGACACACAACCTGAGCTATCACACCATCCGTTACCACTTTGAAGCTTTCCTCTGGGAAGGTGCTCTACCTAACCCTCTACATCTAGGGAAGGGCACATCCGGAGCAACCAGAAAGGAAGAAAAGGAATAAAGTGTGAGTTCAAGGGAGCCTTGGGAGGAGTTGGGAGGTCAGGGAGGCTTCATGGAGGAGGTGGCTTTTAGGCAGAGCTTTTCAAAGCACAGATGGGGATTTTTATTCATTTAATGTCTCATTTCTTTCCTTGGGCCAGGCCTTGTGATGGGCTCCAGGGAGTTGGACAATGAACTGAAAGTCTGAGGTAGTATGACAAGCTGTGCCAAGGGATGCCATGTAGCTTTGGAGACTCAGCTGGGAACATCCAAGCCCCTTAAAAGTGCTCCCTCCCAATCCTAGTGTCTCTCCTCTGTCCTGGATGTGGGGTTTGTAAATCAGGGGCAGAGAAGCTCATCATCAAATAGAAGTCTGAGGTCCATCCAACGTGGAGTCGTGGGCAGCCCTCACTGTACAATCCCATGGCCCAGCTCTCTGCTTCTGGGTGCTCAATGTTAGAGCCACTCAATAATCAAAAACGCAGACCTACTTCTCCAGATGGAGAAAGGGCTTTGTCCCCCTCCTGGGTGAGCAGCATGGCACTGGGTGGATATTGCTTCCATTGGATGACGCTGACGTGCTCCAAGGAGGCCGTGTGGTCGCAGGCAGGAGGTCAAAGTGGCCAGCTTCACTAATCTTGCACAGATACCAGTGATACAAAATACCCGCAATCCTTACAGAAACAACAGAAGACAGACAGAGTAATCCCTCACAGACACCCACACACTGTGGGAGAAAGATCCAACAGATCTACCGTCTCAGGACCATAGTACTTGGGGACACCAGACTCAGTTGGCACAACAAAGTACATAAAAGCCTTCTTGTTCCTCATCCTACCATGGTGAGTAGCGACTGGGGTCTTAAAAGCTTTCAAGCAGCCATCTAAAATGCACCTAATGGTCTCCTATCATGGGAAGCGAAGAAGAGTCAAAAAGAAAAAAAAAAAAAAAAAAAAAGGACATGTAGAAGCAATCAGCCCTAGGACATGGTGGCCCTCAAGACCAGAAGAACTAGATGGTGCCAGGCTACCAATGCCAACCACTCAGGAAAAGATCAAATCTGGAGATCCTGGATAGAGTGGGAGGGAAAACATGGAACAAAATCCAAAAACACAATAATGACCAGAATTACTGGTCTGATGGAGCCCGGTGAGACTCCCAATACTATGGTCCTGGGATACATTCTGGGCCTGGACTAAAACTCACTCCCAGGGGCTGACTCTCAGCTCAATAGTTAGTAAGATGTACATGCAGACCACTCAACCCAGGGTGACGCACCCACACACTCTATGGAAATACTTCCCTTGGAGCCATTGACCACAGGGCACCAGAGGGGCAACATTCACACGGAGGAAATGCAGGACACACAAGAGTGTGTAACTATAAAGGGAGGGGCACAGGGGAAGGGTTACTGGACAGGGAGGGGAGGAGACTGGGTTAGGGTTGGGCATGTTAAATGAGGAGTGAAACTAAATGTTCATGTAACATTGAATGTAAAACAAACTTTTGAAAAATTAAAGGGGGCCAGCTTCAGCAATCATTAAGTATCAAAAATGACGGTGATACATGGAGGGAAGATGGGGCTTCCATTTACAGACACCCCAAGTCACTGCAACCTTCCAGCCATGCGCCCATCACACAGAGTTGGGCTCCATGGGGAACAGGCAGGCACAAACCTATCACAAAGCCTGGCGTAGAGGAGGAAATGAGCCATGCTTCTTAAATGAAGGAATGAAAATCCTATCTGTGCTTTGAAGCTCTGCCTCCGTTTCAATGGCCTCGGCACCGGCATCACTTAGAATACATGCCGTAAGTGGCTTCATGCCAGTGCCTCCTACGGTATTTTCACACTCAAACCAGAGCTGTGCTGCAGATGGAGGAGCGGGTCTCTCTCACGTCTGAACCCAGCAGGTGCAGTGCAGGGCAGAGACTAGGCCCACGGCAAGCTGGCTGCTAGAACAGAAATGTCTCCTGCAATTTGGGCCATTCCCTCCCCTGCCAGGCGCTTTCCTCTCAGCCCCACAGAGAGAGAGACCCCGACTCCTCTAGGAAAGGGCTTGCTTTCCCGTTTGAAATTGACTGGAGCCACGGAGCTGGGCTGCACTATGAACTTCCACCAGTAGGTAGTGCATGAAACTGCCTTTCCACCATATCTGCTCTTCGCTGTGAAAGCTTCCCAGGCACTCCCAGGTGGTTGTAGAGGACCTCCCTCCATGAACCAGGGCCCCGTGTGTGCCCTCTCATGGGAGCCTTGTCACACTGCATCATTACTGTTTTTCCCCTAGATGGTGAGCCCTGATGGGTAGGACTAAACCCAGTCACCTCTATTTCCAGCATTTAACACAGTACCTGATTCATGGTGAATGTTCAGGAATTGGAGGGTGGG